CTAGTCACTGTGACCTTTTTACCTGTGCTGGACTATGGTGATTTGTTATATATGAATGCACCTGCCAATTACCTGAGCAAGTTAGATGCTGCGTATCACAGTGCACTGAGATTTTTGACAAATTGTAAAGCACTTACGCATCACTGTACCCTGTATACCAAGGCGGTTATGCCATCACTTACTGTACGGAGGCTCAGTCACTGGTACTTTTTCATTTACAAAGCCATGTTGGATAAACTACCATCTTATATCTGCTCCCTGATCTCTCTGCGAATTGAAAGTACTTATTGCCTGAGATCGCATGCTGTGGTTTTATTAAATGTGCCAAGTGCTAGGACTGTCTTAGGGAAGAAAGCTTTTAGATGTGCAGCTCCACTAACATGGAACAGTCTGCAAAAAGAATGGAAAATTACCAAGCTAGTACCACTACATGTTTTTAAAGCTCGGTTGGATGCTACAAAATCAGATGCTGTTGGTACCTGTACTTGTGGTTAAATATGTAAATTGTAATCCCTGTACATTTTGCTGTATGATGTCCTTTTGTTGTTCTGTTGTTTATGTTTTTATGTCTTCTTGTGGAACCTACTGCTGCAGGTCTCCCTTGAAAAAGAGATCATTGATCTCAATGGGATTTTACCTGGATAAATAAAGGTTTTGAATTTGAATTGAATTTGAAAGTAATCATAGATGACACGGCAGGGTCCGTTACAGTTTGTTTTCATCTGGTTTCAAATAAACAAAGTCTTGGCTTTCAGAATATTAAACTTGTTTCGGCAAATTCAGATGATAAATACAACTTTGAAGCTTGTAACGGCATAATTACAAGCGGAGAACGGAGTAACTTAACGTCACAGCAGGCATAACAATGCAAAGTGTTTTCCCCGGGAAAAAAACACAATACACACAAACGTAAAAATACACAAACACACACACGTGGTATACACACACACACACACACTCGTGAGCTTTCTCCAGACCAGTAATCCAAACGTAAATATCTTCCCTCCGTAGTATTTTGATCATTTGCTCCGCATATCAATCAGATCGATGGATTCCAGAGATTTTTCTCAAAAATGATGACTCCGAAACAGTCAGTGGGCACCACTCAACAGCCAATCAGAATGAGAATATGTTTCACATGTGACTTATTCAAATTGCGAGTGATTGAGTGACAGATGAAGGTTGTTTAGGAGAAAAAGTTTGAGAAGAAAAAATGTGAGAGTAGCGCTCGGAAAAGGAAAAGGAGTTTCGAGACAAGCAGCTATTACATAACATGCCGAAGCTTACAGGTTATTTTAAACCTGTAAGCCAGGATGAGGAGGAAGGACAGAAGAGTTCTGTATCGAGCGGCAGCGGTGCCGGCCGCAGGGCCTCGGAGCCAAGTAGGCCGTCTGGTTCTGATAGCAATGGAGTACGGGAGAGGAAAAACAGACAGGAGGGACATTATCTGTTGGAGGAGATGGAGAGGACGACGAGGACTTGCTACGTGGAGGGGAGCCAACGGCAACCGGACAAATACATGAGGGAGGCCCGATACGTCACTCATCTGGAGGAGAGGACCAGGCGTGCGTAGAGCAGAGTGGAGAAGTGCGATCACAGAGCCTGCCGAGGCTATAAATGACTTTGATTTGTTGTTTAAATAGGGGGCCTACAAAAACTATCAGCCCCAGGGCCTGATGGCAGGTTAAGGTGGGCTTGCACGCATGGTGTTCTATTTTAATATATATAGAAATGTTTATTCATTGGGATAAACCCCTTGAGACCCCATCTCATTTTCAAGGGGGTCCCGAAAAAAAAAATATAATAATATAAATATATTATAATGAAGCGCGAGCTGTGTGCTCGAGTCTTCCTGCCTGTCGGTTCTGCTCATGGATGTATAATAAGGCTCTGCTGCTCCGCGATGATGGTCTAGCTTCAGCAGCTACATTACCTATGGGTGTGTTCGTTAATATTAACTGTGTGGTCCGGAGTCACTGTCGCACAGACTGGACCGCTGGTGAACAACTGTTAGAATGGGCCATTCAGGTGTTCAGAGCAGAGCTCCCTGTCGGAGCGGCAGAGCGTGATGTGCACTGAAACGTTTTTTCTGTTGCAATATTATCGTTGAGCTGGCTAACTAGCATACATTGTCACTATCTGCTAACGTTAGCTTTAGCCTTCGTTTTCTAATAGTTTTTTCATAGGCTAAACGGAGGTGGTATAAGTATAGATCTTGTACTTGAGTAAAAGTAGAAGTACTCAGATCTTGTACTAGAGTAAAAGTAGAAGTATTCAGATCTTGTACTTGATTAAAAGTACTCAGATTTTGTACTAGAGTAAAAGTAGAAGTACTCAGATCTTGTACTAGAGTAAAAGTAGAAGTACTCAGATCTTGTACTTGATTAAAAGTAGAAGTACTCAGATCTTGTACTAGAGTAAAAGTAGAAGTACTCAGATCTGGTACTAGAGTAAAAGTAGAAGTACTCAGATCTTGTACTTGATTAAAAGTAGAAGTACTCAGATCTTGTACTTGAGTAAAAGTAGAATCAATCAATCAATGTTTATTTATATAGCCCAATATCACAAATGTTACATTTGTCTCAGTGGACTTCACAGTTTGTACAAAATATCAGTATGACAATACGACACCCTCTGTCCTTAGACCCTCACATCGTACAAGGAAAAACTTCTGGAGAAAACCCACAGTTTTAAAGGGAAAAATGTGAGAAACCTCAGGGAGAGCAACACAGGAGGGATCCCTCTCCCAGGACGGACAATAGATGCCGTGTGTAAATTGAAAAGATAATACATTTGCAACATAGGTAGTCCAAATGTTTGGAAATGCATGTGTGTATAATAGGAAGATGAATCCACGAGGATATCCATCCAGGACCTATGATCCAGGACCACAGCTACAACTCAAGATCCAGGGCTCGCGATGCAGGACAGAGGACCGCAGGATCATCCATGACTCCGGATCCCAGCGTATATAGCAGGGCTGCCAAGTTTCAGTAACAAGTAGTGAGACTTTTGGGGGAAGATGCGTTTAGATTTTTTTTTTGCCTTTTTTTAACGTCGATTTAGAGGAATATCTCAATTTAAATTAACATTAAGACTGTTGTGATGTATTTATAAAATGTCAATATAAAGAAAATATAGCAGCCTTTTAAGAAATAATAGCAGCCTTTTAAGAACCAATAGCAGCCTTTTCCTTTAGTGCATTTTTTTTTAAGAGTAACAAAATTAGAACCAGAATAATATATATATATATAATATATATTATAAATAAATAAAGTGCATGTCTTTGTTTGTGTGTTTTGGTTTACATGACATGTCTCATGTTCTAGGTGTTTGTGGCAGATTTTGATGCCTTGATGACAGAGGGAGGGGGCTCCCATTTGAAACACTGTGGCTCAAGGTTTGCCATCTTCACAGTCATGATGGATGATAGAGTTCCATCAAGAGCCAAACTGTTTTTCGGGTTTTGTTCAGTCCCACCACAGAGAACACTCGTTCAGCATCAGCATTTGAATGTGGAAGTACCAACACCAACTTGGCAATACGGGAGAGCCTCCCAAATCTGCTCATACCGGTCACCTTTGAAAAATGTAGGAAGCCTAATTACTCTCAAGTATTTTTGTATAGAATTAAGTTGATTACGTCAATGGGTATTTCAAAGGGTGCAGAATAATTCTTACCTTATTTTTCATTGATGCCATGTTCCCCCAAAAGCTCTCAATGTCGAACGTGGCTGGGTCTTCGGGCATGGCAATGTCCATGGACTGGTAGTCCAGAAACTCCTCACTCAGTTTGTCACGCTCGTCAGGTCCGTTGTATGGGAGAAGTTCAGGAAACCTAAAAAGAACACAATGTGCACTGATCTGGTCAAGTAATGTAGCTGAAACGGGTTGTTTTTCAGATGTGGTCATTAAACTTTACAATCTATTAAGAAAATGTGACAAGAGCCAAGAGTCTTTAACCTGCTCTACTTATTAAGTATATTGAGATAACTTGTGTTGTGATTTGGCACTATAGATAAATGTACTTGACTTGATACCCCAACTAACCTGTCGACAAAGTACAAGGCGTCTTCCACTCCACACTTTACCCTCTGCTGGACATCCAGAAACATGGCATGTTTTATCTGGGGCTCTCTCATGGGGAGTTTCTTCATGGCATACTCCACAGCCCTCACCAGAAACGCCACTGCTGCCTGCTGGAACCTCTGCACTTGCTGCGGTGTAATGTCTCCTGCATCAAGGAGCCTGTTGAGTGTAGCTCGAGTAGTGAAGCCGATCACCAGCTTTTCTCCTACGAGAGACACAATAAATCAACAACGTCACAGAGGTCATTAAGGTGCTGTATGCGATTCTGGAGAAAGATTGATGCAATATGTTCTCATTCCCAACACCAACATGTCAGTATGAGACTGGGAATAAGACTGGTGTTGAGTCACTTTAGCAATCATCAACAACCACAATAGCTAACTTGAAAGCACCCCTTTAAGTATCTTCATCACATCAGTGATTGATTGATTGAATACTTTAATAGACAGAAATGCAAACAGCACAAGGTTCAGTCACACATTTGGGCTAAAAGGATAACATTAAAAAGTCCTGTGGACTTGTTTCCATTGTGGTCCTATGTGTGTGATGAGATGACATTATCAAACTCATAACTTGTCTGCACAAGCAGCCCTCTAACAAAACAGTATTATGTGAGTGAGATCAGTGAGTGGATAGTGTATGTGCATCTGCTGATGTGAAACTTGGAGGATTACCTGGCAATTGGTTTGATGGGTCCTTATAGAGGATTTCATGCAATTCCCGGTGCTGCAGTGCTGCTGGCTTCAGAAACTTCGAGAGAAACTTGCGGATGATGAAAAAAGGAACAAACATAGTACATTATTACTAGCATACTGTATTACTAGCATACTGTATCCCAACCTTCCCAATTGATCTCATCATGTAGAAGGAAGATGGAGGACTTCTCTCTCTGGAGGAGGAGGTTGAAGGTGGAGAAGACTGGCAACGTTGCTTGATAGAAGAGCAGGTACACCTCTGTCATTGAGTTAGAGAATGCTTCCAACAGCCTCCTGAACCTTGGTTGTTTCTCATCTGTGAATAAAAAAAACACAGGTTGTGCATACTACATACATTTACTTTTCAGTCTGTTATAATAATCGTTCGTTCATTTGGATCATTGAAATATGATGCCTACCTGATGACTTGAAGTAGCTGGCCAGTGGTTCATACTGCTGCAGGGTACGAGTCAAACACCTCTCCAGGCTCAACCATCGAATGGAAACGTGCATAAGTATTTTCAAATACTCGCTTCCATGGAGCTCACAGAATTCTATGACAAGAATGGAACATCTTAATTTCAATTTAATTTAACTCTTCTGAATTTCATTTGGACTGCACATACCTGTCAGGTAACCTTTACAATTGGTGCTTCCTTTAAACCAGTATCCCACATCCACAGTCAGATTCTCTGGATCAAAAGATAGCTACATGTTACTATTTGATTGATTGAATATTTTATTAGACATAAATGCAAACAGCACAGGTACAGTACAGTACTGTACATTTCCTTAGCTCATAGTAAGTATCCATTAGATCACACAAGCAAATACGTGATGATTTAACTAACACTGCTATTAGTCACGGTTGTTTGTTGTTAAACCCACCGCAGCAACCTGCCACACTGCTCACCAGCAGCCTGTGTAACGTTAAGTCTCACGTAGTCAGACCCACCGTTGACTTCATCAAAATAAAAATATTTGTACAAATAATGTGGTTACCTACCGTTTGACCTCCCGCTTCAGATGAAAATGTCAGTCACGGCATTATTGAGGCGCTGACACAGACGTTTCACGTTTACTTTTCGATTTCTCCGCCATAGAGTTATGTTGTTCTTCATAGGATAGAGACGCAATGACCCGCCCTAAGCTGCCTCTGATTGGTTTGTATACGTGGTGCCTTTCGTTGGGTTGGTTGGATTTAGCCTCGAGGGCTGATGATTGGTTATCACATATCTCGGTCAGCCAATCGGGGGCAGAATAGGGCGGGCTCACCCTGTCCCTGACTCGAACTACGGCAAGCCTCAAGCAACAAGTTATGGAAATATATCATTAAATATAAAAATAATTATAAAGTAGTGAGAGGGGGGGGGAAAGCGTGTGAAATGGCAAGTGTGGCGTGAGGCATGTGAAGAGGTTACATTGCGTGACTCTCACTCTCAAAGGGTGAGACTTGGCAGCACTGGTATATAGACACCAAAAAGAAAGACATTTGGGGAAGCTGGGTTAATCGGAACATGAGAGTACACAGGTATAGACAGAGAGAAGGAAGAAGTAAGATGTCCCCCGACAAAGTAAGCCTATATCAGCAAAACTAGGGGCTCAATCTAATCAGCCCTAACTATAAGCTTTATCAAAAAGGAAGGTCTTAAGCGCACTCTTAAAAACGGATAGGGTGTCTGCCGCCGAACACAAACTGGAAGCTGATTCCACAAATGTGGAGCTAGATAAGAAAAGGCTCTGGCTCACATCGTACTTTTAGAGACTCTAGGAACAACCAACAACCAACAACCCTGCATTCTTGGAACGCAATGCCCTAGTAGGACAGTAGGGTATAATGAGTTCTTTAAGGTGGCGCCTGCCCATTAAGGGCTTTGTAGGCGAGAAGAAGAATTTTAAATTCTATCCTGTGTTCTATAGGGAGCCAGAACAGGAGTAATGTGGTCCCTTTTCCTAACTCTGGTTAGTACACGAGCTGCAGCATTTTGAATCAGCTGAAGCGACTTGACTGACTTCTTGGTACACCCTGATAATAAAGAGTTACAATAATCCAGCCTTGAAGTAACAAATGCATGGACTAGTTTCTCTGCATCGTTTTGAGGCAAGATATGCCTGATTTTTGCAATGTTACGTAGATGGAAGTAGGCGGTCCTTGAAATTGATTTTATGTGGTCGTTAAAGGATAAATCCTGATCAAATATAACACCAAGATTCCTTACAGTCTCACTGGAGGCCAAATTAATGCCATCCATAGTTAGTATATCTTTAGATAATTTGTTTCGTAGATTCTTCGGGCCAAGTACAATAACTTCAGTTTTGGTCGTGTTTAACATCAAAAAGTTTAAGGTCATCCACGTTTTTAAGTCCTTGAGGCAGTCTTGAATTTTATTTAGATGATTAATTTCATCAGGCTTGATTGATAAATATAGTTGAGTATCATCCGCATAACAATGAACATTTACAGAATTATTCCTTATAATATTGCCTAACGGAAGCATATATAATGTGAACAAAATAGGTCCGAGCACTGAGCCCTGTGGCACTCCATGGCTAACTTTAGTTTGCGTGGAAGATTCATCATTGACACGTACAAACTGAGAGCATTCAGATAGATAGGACCTAAACCAGCCTAAAGCAGTTCCCTGTATGCCAACTAAGTGCTCTAGTCTTTGCAATAAGATATCATGATCGATAGTATCAAATGCAGCACTGAGATCGAGCAAAACAAGAATAGAGACATGTCCCTTGTCTGAGGCTATTAGAATGTCATTTGTGACTTTTACCAGAGCTGTCTCTGTGGTATGATGTGTTCTAAAGCCAGACTGAAAATCTTCAAATAAATCATTGTTTTTTAAGTAATCACACAGCTGTTTTGTGACTGATTTCTCAAGAATTGTTGAGAGAAACGGAAGATTAGAAATATAATTGGCTAAAACCTCTGGATCGAGGTTGTGCTTTTTAAGAAGCGGTTTTATCACTGCTACTTTGAATGATTGTGGAACATAGCCTGATAATAAAGACATATTCATAATATTTAATAAATAAGTGCTAATTAATGGAAAAACTTCCTTCAACAGCTTAGTTGGAATTGGGTCTAACATGCACGTTGATAGTTTAGAAGAGAGAATCATTGAATTTAATTGTTCAAGGTTTATGGCTGAAAAGCATTCTAGTTTACTATCTAGTGTAATATTAGAACTTACGTTTCCGGGAGCTGTTGATAACACTATACTGGTCAAAGGCAAGAGGTCATTAATTTTGTTTCTAAGAGTAACAATTTTATCGTTAAAAAAGCACATAAAATCATTACTACTGAGTGCTATGGGAATAGAAGGCTCAATCGAGCTGTGGCTCTCTGTCAGCCTGGCTACAGTGCTGAAAAGAAATCTTGCATTATTCTTATTCTCATCTATTAATGAAGAGTAGTAGGCTGCTCTCGCTTTACGCAGTGCTTTCTTATATTCATTGAGAGTAATATGCCAAATTAAACGAGATTCTTCAAGTTTAGTGGAACGCCATATCCTTTCAAGTTGTCTCGACTTTTGCTTTATTTTGCGGGTTTCGGCATTATGCCATGGAGCTAATCTATGTTGTTTTATTTTCTTCTTTTTCAAAGGAGCAACAGAGTCTAATTTTATTCGCAGCGCATCTGTAGCACTATCAACAACATGATCAATTTGGGGTGGTGTACATTTTGTATAAGTTTCCTCCCTTACATGCAGACATGCTATCGATTTAAGTATTGGTGGAATCTCTTCCTTAAATGTGGCTATAGCACTAACAGATAGGTTTCTGCTGCAGGAACTTTTGACTAATGCTTTGTAGTCTCGTAATAGTACTTCAAAAGTTACTAAGAAATGGTCGGATAAAGCAGGATTATGCGGTTCGACTAATAGTTGCTCAATTTCAATACCATAAGTCAGAACAAGGTCGAGAGTGTGATTATAGCAGTGGGTTGGTTTATTTACACTCTGACAAAAACCAACAGAATCTAATATAGAGTTAAATGCAACAGAAAGGCTATTTTTTATCATCGTCAACATGAATATTAAAGTCACCTACGATAATTACTTTATCTGTTTGAAGTACCAAAGTTGATAAAAACTCAGAGAATTCTGATAAGAATTCTGAATAGGGACCTGGTGCACGGTAACAAATAAGATTGGCTGCAAAGTTTTCCAGGTTGGATGCGTAAGACTAAAAACGAGACTTTCAAAGGAGGTATAATTTAATTTTGGTTTAGTATTGATAAGTAAACTTGAGTCAAAGATGGCTGCAACTCCACCTCCTTGGCCCGTGCCTCGGGCAATATGAGTATTGATATGGCTGGGTGGAGTGGCCTCATAGAAGTACTCAGATCTTGTACTTGAGTAAAAGTAGAAGTAGCTACTCAGGTCTTGTGCTTGAGTAAAAGTAGAAGTACTCAGATCTTGTACTTGAGTACAAGTAGAAGTACCAGAATGTAGGAACAATCCTGCAATCAAAAATGTTCCTCAAATAAAAGTACAAAAGTATTATCATCAACATATAGTTAAAGTAGCGACAGTAAAAGTAGAAGTACTCAGATCTTGTACTTGAGTAAAAGTAGAAGTACTCAGGTCTTGTCAGGTCTTGTCTGACTGGGACTAAAATTCAGCCCTGGAAACTGACCCAGTCCGGCCACATGAAATGTCAAATGTTAGAAATCCGCTGTTTATTATTTAAAGTTTTACGTCCGATTCGCTCCTTTTTTCCTTCCTGTGCACTTGCTTCAGTTGCTTGCTACTTTTTAAGGGCGGTGATGATGAGTTACAGTACGAACTGAAGTTGATGCGATTTGATTGGATTGTGAGGCATGACGTGAGCCTCATCTGATTGGTCAATCCCTCCATTTTTTTTCACCAAGGGAAGCCAATTGCGGCTAGCCTCCTCCAAGCCCCCAGGAAGTGCGCCGGACTCAGATGAAAATATTCGTGGTGGCCAAACAGCGGTACTACACTTCTGTTTGGTTGCCAGGCCCGGAAACACTTTTTCCCATTGACTTACATGGGGAAAGAGTGGTCTGTAAATCGTTGGATAATTTGTTTTAAACTAAATAAACAATCCAGTATGAACACTTGTATAGCCCTTATTAAAAACATTTGTTCCTCAAGTTGTAAAAATGTGCTAATAACGTTATTCTGAGCAGTGGCGAGCCGTAAGGGCCCTCTAGGCCCTCTGTGAGGGCCTAAGATATTCTACAAAATAATATTTAAAAACATTAAAAAAAATAATGTATTTTTTATTATATTTTTTTATATATTTTTTTAGTTATATTTTTCATTAGTTTTACCAAAATAACTTGATTTAATTGTATTTAAAATAACATTTCCAAAGAAATAAATCCTTCGAATCTGCCTATTCAGTTTCTGTTGGAATGTGAAGGGTTAAATGAAAGAAGCTCGTCTCTGCGAGTTACTGTGAAGAGAGGAGCTGTTGGACGTCCATGCGGTCCGCTATAGTAACTGAACGAGAGAGTAATGTCAAATGACAGTACAATTGACCAATCATATCTTCCCTCTAAATGGGTGGGTGTTATTATCGCAGACTTTATGACAAGTTCCGCCCGCTGTGAAACTGTTCTTGTTTCCATAGCAACAACAACCTCCTGTCAATAGCGTTAACTCGCCT